GTCCACTGTTCCCCACATTGCAAGTCCTGTGGGGACCCTTAGAGTTTAGGACAGAAAAGTCCTAAGATACACGCCTGAAAAGGAGGGTGCTAAATGTCTGAATTTTAAATGGATTCTTGGACTTTTTTGAAGTTGGTGCTGTGGACATCACACTGCATCACTTCTGGAGGCCAATGAGGTCAGGTTGTCCTGCTTCTATCCGTATGGAGGTTAATTAATTAGTTCAGGTGGCCTTAGCCTGATCCCTCCATGGGAGTTTCCTATCAGCTTTTCATCTCATGCTTTTATCCACTGATGACCATTGACTGAATCCATTTTTTCACCAGGGATTGCAAAATGCTGAGTTTCTAATTCTATCATTCTTTCCACAATTATTAGCTGGAATGCAAAATACTGAGTTTCTAATTTTATTATTTCTTCCCCATTTATTAACAGGTAGTTTGCTATAGAGAAGAACCTTCCCTCACCAACCAGAGATATTTGGTTATTCCAAAATACAGTGCACACAGGAAAGGCAAGAGGAGAGAGGGCAGCAACCCTCCCTGGTGTTCACTGAGGTACCTCAAGTGTTGGAATATTGTCTGGAATATTCAGGCCACTCAATAAAAAATTGTAAGTTTAATTGAAAGCCGCATATTGGAATAATGTGCAACTCTTTGAAAATGATAAATTAAATAGGTATCTATACCAGCGGTTCTCAACCTGTGGGTCACGACCCCTTTGGGGGTCAAATGACCTTTTCACAGGGGTCACCTAAGACCATCGGAAAACACATATGTAATTACATATTGTTTTTGTGATTAATCACTATGCTTTAATTATGTTCAATTTGTAGCAATGAAAATACATCCTGCATAGCAGATATTTACATTATGATTCATAACAGTAGCAAAATTACAGTTATGAAGTAGCAACGAAAATAATTTTATGGTTGGGGGTCACCACAACATGAGGAACTGTATTAAAGGGTCGCAGCTTTAGGAAGGTTGAGAACCACTGATCTATACTGACATGGCATAATACTTATATTGTTGAGTGAAAAAAAGGTAACAGAACAGTAAATAATAGGATGAGTCAACTTTTATAAAAAATTTATATTCTAAATGTATCAAAAATAGGATGGACTAATGGGTAAATGTGATAAAAGAAACAAATGTTAATTGTAGCATTTAGGTAGGAGTTATATGGGTTTTTCCTGTTCAATTTATTCAGTTTTCCTGTGTTTAATTTATTTTATTATGAAAACGTTCATAACAAAATGATGGTAAAATACATATGCATACAAATCTGTATTTTGAAAACAGGGTTTTGGGGTAAGAATGGAACTTTTTAGGTTATGTACTTTATTTAAAGCAAAAATTGTAAATGATTCTTTGACACAGTAACTCCACATTTAGGAACCTATCCTACTATAGTAATTCTAAATGTAGGACATACAGAAATAATATAGAGAAAAAATTATATAATATATGGAAAAGGGGGGGGGGAGAAGTAGGCGAGGGTAAGGAGGGAATAAATGATGATGGAAGGAAACTTGACTTGGGGTGGTAAACACACAATACAATATACAGATGATGTATTAAAGAATTGTACACCTAAAACCTATATACCTTTTTAACCAGTCACCACAATAAATTCAATAAAAAAATTTCATGCTGGAAATGTCTGGAAACAAAAATTTTTAAATAGCCTAGATATCGAATAGTAGAATAATTACTTTATTGTATAACAATTGGGTTCATTTTAAATGATAAAGACAATGTAATAACATGGAAAGTGCTTATAGTACATCATTTAGTGAAAAAAATCATGACAAATTTTTTATCAACATGATTTACAATGATTTTTTAAAAAAATATTTTTATTGATTTCAGAGAGGAAAGGAGAGGGAGAGAGAGATAGAAACATCAATGATGACAAAAAAAATCATTGCATTGAACCCACAACCCAGCATGTGCCCTTGACTGGAAATGAAACCGGGACCCTTCAGTCCACAGACTGACGCTCTATCCCCTGAGCCAAACCAGCTAGGGTTACAATGATTTTTTTTTAATAGTACACATAGACTCAATAATTGCAGTTAGATGTATATCCAAGAGAAATAAAAACATATGTTCACACACACACACACAAACTTGTATATGAATGTTAACAGCAATATTATTCAAAAAGTGGAAATAACCCAAATTATTATCAACTGATAAATGGAGAAAAAAAAAATATGGTATATCTACACAATGAAATATAAAAAGAAATACATTATGATACATGCTACAATATGGAGGAAACTTGAAGCATTATGCTAAGTAAAAGAAGCCATATTATGTAATTCCATTTATTTGAAATGTTCAGAACAGGCAAATCTATAGAAATAAAAAATTAGTGGTTACCTGGGGCTGTTGGGTTGGGGGGAAGTGGAGAGTGAGTACTAATGGGTATGGGGTTTCTTTGAGGGATGATAAAAATGTTCTAAAATTGTTTGTGGTGATGATTGCACAACTCTGTGAATACACTAAAACCATTGACCTGTACACCTGTGCAACAAAGGGTTGCCAGTTCAGTTCCCAGTCTGGGCACATACCTGGGTTTGCAGGTACTCCCCATTGGGGCATATATAGAAAGCAACCTCCCTCTCTCTCCCTTTCTCTCTTTAAGCATGTCCTTGGGTAAGGATTAAGAAAACAAAAAGGCCCTGCCAGTGTTGCTCAGTGGTTGAGCGTCGGCCCATGAACCTGAAGGTCATGGTTCGATTCCCAGTCAGGGCACATGCCTGGGTTGTGGGCTTGATCCCCAGCAAGGGACATGCAGGAGGAAGCCGATTGATGTTTCTCTCTCATAGATGTTTCTATTTCTCTATTCCTCTCCCTTCCTCTCTGTAAAATCAATTGAAAAATATATATTTTAAAGATTTTTTTTGTGAGTTTATTTGAGCCAAACTGTCAACAATTGCTGGGAAGCAGTACCTCAAGGAATTGAGATAATGCTCCAGAGAATGGCGGGTTTTCCTCTATTTTTATACATTGCAATTAAAGGAGGGACGTAGGTGGGTGACATGAAATCCATTGGGGATAGACTAGAGAGGTGGGGAAAGCAAAGCGGGGAAACCTCTGGGATGGGATAAAAAGTGAAATGATAGACAGTACTTAGGTGGGTGCAGGAACAATTAACATGATAACAATGAAGGAATTTGTGATATCTGTCCTGGTGCCCAGCCCATTTGGTTGTGCCTCAGGGGGTCCTGAAAAGGGAAGTTACAAGTTACTCAGACATTTCAAGGAAATGTTATTATAGATGCAAAAAGACAGATAGGCTCAGTTAAAGTAAAGGCTGACCTTGTCAGCGAAGATACGGCCTAGGAAGTTAGCTACCCACCATAAGTGCTTTAGTTAAAGTTCAATTTCAGACCATCCTTGTGGTTACTGTAGGTCTCTGAGTTTGCAAGACTGCCATGCAGGCCTTCCCTGAGCTTGTCAGGTCAGCATGTGGCCCCTTTCGTCTACACATCCCCCTTTTGGTTGCAAATCAATCTAAAGGATACATTGATGACCAACCTTTTGGTTGGATAATGGAGTTCCATGATGCTAAGAAGGCTCATTCTTAGGATGTCTCACTGTCAGCATTTGTCTTGCTGAGCATGGTAGAGGACTGGGGATGGGGCAAGACCATAACCTTAGGTGGCATTAAGGTCAGATTAATATTACTTTTTAAAAGGGCAGGTAAATGGGAGGCAGTCAGATCCTATATGTCTTTGCTAAAAAGTATTCTGGGCTGAAACCGGTTTGGCTCAGTGGATAGAGCGGCGGCCTGTGGGCTTTTGAAAGGTCCCAGGTTCGATTCCGGTCAAGAGCATGTTCCTGGGTTGCGGGCACATCCCCAGTGGGAGATGTGCAGGAGGCAGTTGATCGATGTTTCTCACTCATTGATGTTTCTAACTCTCTCTATCTCTCTCCCTTCCTCTCTGTAAAAAATCAATAAAATATATTTAAAAAAATAAAAATAAAAAAAAAATAAAAAGTATTCTGGATCATTTCTAATTTTTGAGCCAGCATGATCCCAGTCTTTTTTGCTGTTTGTCAAGTTTTGTTTTTCTGCATCTAGTATAACATTTACATACCAGGAACAAAATAACAGGTAATAAATCAGTAACACTAATTAGGAACAGAAAATGTCTACTATTAGACAAGGAAGGATCTGAAGGGACACTTTTGGGCAGTTAATTTCATCCATTCCTATATTTAGACAAAATTCATCTAAAATACTCATCTAAATTAGATCTATATATAATTCTACCAGGGGAATTATTAGGGAGGTGTTCTTGGAGAGGTTTGTCCAAGGTAGGAAAAATATTTTTTAAAAAAATAAAAAATGGGTGAATTGTATGGCATGTGAATTATATCTCAATAAAGTTATTGTAAAATTTTAAAATGGTACAAATAAAAAAGAAAATTGAAGAAAAAAATTAATGTACTGTGTTTGTGGTGGTAGGATTACAGATGATTAAAGTAAATTATACTTTCCTGTATTTTCCAGTTGTTATGGTATTATTTTTACAAGAAGAAAATAAGCCTGTTTTATTTGTTTATTATTTTGATGGCATAGCAAAGGTGGAGATTTAATGAAGAGCAGGCAGAGACTCCCACGTGGGCGGGGAAGAGTCCCCAGAAACCTGGTTTGAAGGCACCAGATGCACATCCCAGACAACTACTTACCACCCTTACATCTTTGTAGGTTGTGGGTATGATGCTTAAGCGAATCATATTTTTCCTAATGGCCTATTAATGCATTTTCACAATACATTAGCGATCTGACATTTTTTCCAGAATGTGCATGTGGGTCAGGAGGAGGGAGCCATGACTTCAGGCAGATGGGTGGGGGTGGGGGGTGGGAAAGGCCTCATCAGCCCGGGGTCCTGGGAGCCGTCACGCCCTCCCCCGGGGCAGAGGCCCCGCCCTCCCGCCGTCCGGGTGTCACAGGCCGCAGGCCATTGGCCAGGCCCCGCCTCCCGGCCGGGGTCACCGTTCCGCACGCCGGGGTCAGGCCCGCGCACCCGGCCACCGCCCCCTCCCGCGGGAGGAGGGTCGCCGGCCGCCCGCATGGGCCGCAGTTTGACTCGCCGCACGGTCCCGGGCCTCTGGCCCCGGGCGCGCCCTCCCTCGGCCGGGACCCTGCTGTCCCGCCCCGGGAGCCACGGGCCCTCCCCCGAGGCCGGCGGCCCCTCCTCCAGCTCCAGGCCGCGGGGCTGGGGATCCCCCGTGTCCATCTCGGAGACCTCGGGGGCCCGGCCGGAGGGCTCCGCGCCCGAGGGGCCCGCGCCCGCCGCGTCGCCTTCGCGGGAGGCCCCGGCCGACTCGCCGCCCCCGTCCTCGTCCCCCTCCTGGCCCTCCTCGCGGCCGCCGCCCGCGAGCCCGGAGGCGGATGGGCCGCTGCTGCGCCAGGGCGCGTGGGGCGGGATGGCGGCCGGCTCGTTGCTGGAGGCCGGCCTGGCCCGGGTGCTCTTCTACCCGACGCTGCTGTACACGGTGGTGCGCGGGACCGTGCCGGGCCGGGCGCGCCGCGACTGGTACAACCGCATCGACCGCACGGTGCTGCTGGGCGCGCTGCCGCTGCGGAGCCTGACGCACCGGGTGAGCGGCTGGGGCCGGGCCCCGTCGGTGCCGCCGGGGGGGCCGGGCGCCTGTTTGAGCCCCCTCTTTACCTCGGCAGCTGGTGGAGGACGAGAACGTGCGCGGGGTGATCACCATGAGCGAGGAGTACGAGACCCGATTCCTGTGCAACTCCGCCAAGGTGAGGGCCGGGCCGGGCGGGCGGGCCGGGGAGGGGCACCCGGGGCGCTGCAGGGGGCCGGGGCCAGGCCGGGCCGGGGCGGGAGGCAGGTGTCCCGGCCTGTTGGCCGCTTCAGAGGAGGGCCCGGTACTCTAAGCTTAAATGGCTGCGATCGGAGGTAGAAACTCTCTGTGAAACAAAAACTGTTGGTGAAAGGCGTTTGAAAGTAGAGTTGACAGAGTCTTGTTACTACCCCTTTGTAGTATTTTTAATTTCGGTGATTAAGAATCAGTAAGCAGCCCTGACCGGTTTGGCTCAGCGGATAGAGCAGCGGCCTGCGGACTGAAGGGTCCCGGGTTCGATTCCGGTCACGGGCATGTGCCTTGGTTGCGGGCACATCCCCAGTGGGGAGTGTGCAGGAGGCAGCTGATCGATGTTTCTAACTCTCTATCCCTCTCCCTTCCTCTCTGTAAAAAATCAATAAAATATATATTTTTTTAAAAATCAGTAACCAAATTTGAAAGGCAACTTTTCTTTGGCTTGCTGATCTCATTCATGCCACACTTACTGAGCACTACGTATGGGGGAGGCGCTGCCCTAGGCATCCAAGACTAAGGCCCCATAAACTTGGAGAAGAAAAGCCACCCCCACTCCCAGAGTAAATTTATCATGAAACCCATTGAAAAACTGCATCGGGTTAATTTGGCCCTGACTTGAGGGTATTTTTATTGAGATGTTACAGAGGTGGTGGAGTTACAAAGTGCTGTCATAAGGAAGTTCCGGCCTAAAACATAATCTTCATTAAGTGTGAATGCCTGTCTGTGGGACTCTGCACAGAGGTGATCAGGCATTGCCCTCTGTTGTGTTTGACCTCTATTAGCACATACAGCTATCTTCCTTGTTTACTAGCATGGCCTGATGAAGATGCTGTAATTTCAACCCGTAGGTTTTTTGAAACCTGAAAGACTCACATTTAAAATATATTGATTAGTGATGGCATGCATTTTTAAGGAATGGGTAACAGTTCCTTCCATTTGCCATAAAGCTGCAGAAGCTATTAGCCAGAATGGTAAAAGTTCCTGAGTGTGGTCAGCCCTGTGGAGCAAGAGGAACATAGAAAGGGCGTGGTTGCTGGCCGTGAGGTACTGACATTCGTACTAAGTAGCTATATTATCCCACTAGCCTAGAAAAAAGAAATCTCCACGGCAGTGGGCCTCACATTGTAATATGATCTACCAGGCTCCTTAAAATACCATATTCCTAGGTACAAGGCCCAGAGTCTAACTCAGGAACTTCAGCTTGGGTTCCAGGATCTGAATATTTACCAACCACTGTAGGAGTTTCTGGTGTAATCCTATATCATAAAACCCTAGTATGCAAATCAACCGAACGGCAGAAGGACTGGTCACTATGAGTCACACTGACCACCAGGGAGCAGACACTCAATGCAGGAGCTGCTCCCTGGTGGTCAGTGCGCTCCCACAGGGGGAGCACCGCTCAGCCAGAAGCCAGGCTCTCCTGCCTAGGCAGTCCGATATCCCCCAAGGGGTCCTGGGTTGCAGACTGTGAGAGGGCACAGGACTGGCTGAGGAGACCCCCTCCCCCTCCCCCACCCCCAGTGCACGAATGTCGTGCACTGGGCCTCTAGTTGTAGCATAAGCTACACATTGCAAAGCCATTTGCTAATTTCATGAGCTGTATTGACCTTCATTCAGAGTTCTAAAGTCTCTGGTTCTAAGAGATTAAAAGAGTATCTGAAGGCCTGAAGGCTTAAAGAAAAAAAAAAGTTGCTCAGTTTGCCAGAGGCCTTTTTTCTATTTCTGAGTCTTTTCTTCTTTGCTAAGGGTAAACATTGCAGTAGCAAAGGTATGTGCATTGTTTTAATTTTAAAGTAACTCTATTTTGTTTTTTAGTGTATATTTTTATTGATTTCAGAGAGGAAGGGAGAGGGAGAGAGATAGAAACATCAAAAATGAGAGAGAATCATTGATTGGGTGCCTCCTGCATGCCTTCCACTGAGGATCAAGCCCCCAGCCTGGGCACCTGCCCTGACTTGGAATCAAATCATGACCTCCTGGTTCATGGGTCGATGTTCAACCACTGAGCCACACTGGCTGGGAACTAACTCTACTTTCTACCACATACCCTCTAAAGAAAAAAGTGGTAATAGAAAGCTCTCAAAATACCGTAGCCCAACCCAGCAGCTATGTCATTGCATAGTGACCAAGATTATGCAGAGACAGTTTCACAACTTTTGTAGATGAATTTTATATAGTTAACTAGAGGCCTGTTGCACAAAGAGATTCGTGCTATAGGTCTTCCCTTTCCCTGGCTGCCATCACTGGTTTTTTTCCAGCACCCAGGACCCAGGCCTTTGCTCCGGCTGGAGCTGCCTTCAGTCTTCACTGCTCCGGCCGGAGCCGCCTTCAGTCTTCGCTCTGCCACTTCATGCCTATGTATGCAAATTAACCACCATATTTTTTGTTTAATTTGCATACTCTCCTGATTGGCTGGTGAGCATAGTGGAGGGATGATCAATTTACATGTTTGTCTGTTATTAGGTAAGATGTTTTGCAGTTAAAAATTCAAATACCCAAAGGGCACTTTAAGAACACTTTAAATCTTGGACATAATTCTAACTCAGCAGCATAGTTATTGTTTGGTAAAGACCAACCATGTAGGTCAGTCAGTGTAAAAATTCTTCTGGCCCTGGCTGGTGTGGTTCAGTTGGTTGAGCGCCATCCTATGCACCTAAAGGTCCCCAGTTTGATTCCTGGTCAGAACATATACCCAGACTTGAGGCTCCATCCCTGGTAGGGGTGTAGTCATGTGTTTGGGAGACTGTTGATGTTTCTCTCACATTGATGTTTCTCTCTTGCCCTTGCTAAAAATATCAATAAAAACATATTAAAAAAATTTTTTTTCTGGATAAAAGCAATACACAAAATATTTCTGTAAGAGTTTCTTGTTAGAAAACAGTAAACAGTGTATTGACAGTATAGTAAACCCTGAAGCTTCCTTGTTGCTTTGCTACCTCTTGGGAGCCCATCTTCATATGACTAACATCTGGCTTTTTTCATCCTTTTATGCTGGCGGACCTGGTCCCAGGAGTGGAGGAAAGTAGGAGTTGAGCAGCTTCGACTCAGCACAATAGACATGATTGGAATCCCAACCTTGACTAACCTCCAGAAAGGAGTTCAGTTTGCTCTCAAGTACCAGTCCCTGGGCCAGAGTGTCTACGTGCATTGTAAGGCTGGGCGCTCCCGAAGTGCCACTATGGTGGCCGCGTACCTGATTCAGGTAGGAGAGGTCTTTCTGGGTGGGTCCCATTTACAGCAGATTTCCAGAATTTCAGTGGCATCGTCCACAGGGGGGCCTTGCTGGAAGGAGCCGTGTCCCCCGTTTCAGACTGTTGGGAGGTGGAAAGTACCTGAGCTTTGTCAATAGGCTGACCTGTGGCTGTGCCAGCTGCCAGCTATGTGACCTTATGCAAAAGTGGCTTCTCTCTCCGATGCTGTTTCCTTAAACTAAATATGTTAGGGAGTTTGAATGAGAAAGTATGTCAAGCACTGACTTACAGCAGACACTCAATAAATGGAGTTGCAAAGGATATTAACACCAGCTGAGGGTGAGAATCACTTGTTAAAAATAGCATGTCTAGTACTGTAAATAGTGCTGATCACTTACGGCTCTATAGTACTCGGATTTCTTCAAGTGTTTCAGAGTAGTTTTGGACATTAGTTTCTAGAAACAGGATCCAATGGAATTCCTATCAATTTGTATGATCAGCAGGTGGGACACTTACTAGTAAAAATATTTAGAAGCAAATACTCATCATTCCATTGTATGCCCCCTGCTTAGCTCTTTTTTGTTAGCTGTCTGGCCCCTGCAGAGCATTTACTAAGTCATGGGGATAGTTTAAGGAAAAAGGAAATGTAAAGATAACCACCTGTCCTTGTTTGTGTTACTGTGGATTGGTGAGTACATGATTTAACAATACTAAAGCTTTGGTCATTAGGACTGTTTGCTGAAAACAGGGTCTCAGGAGGATATTTTGGGCCAAGTGAAAATTGCACTGGCAGGCTAGAATCTATATTTTCTTGGTTCTGTTGCGTTCTAAACCAGTAAGTTTAGGACACAAAGATAACCCTACCAGTAAAATTCAAAGTGCTGTTTTTCTAGTTATGGTGACAAGTTACTTAAAAACATCTGCTCTTGCCAAAACCGGTTTGGCTCAGTGGATAGAGCGTCGGCCTGGGGACTGAAAGGTCCCAGGTTCGATTCCGGTCAAGGGCATGTACCTGGGTTGCAGGCACATCCCCAGTGGGGGATGTGCAGGAGGCAGCTGATCGATGTTTCTCTCTCATCGATGTTTCTAACTCTATCTCTTTCCCTTCCTCTCTGTAAAAAATCAATAAAATATATTTTTTTAAAAAAAAAACAAAACACGCCGAAACCGGTTTGGCTCAGTGGATAGAGCGTCGGCCTGTGGACTGAAAGGTCCCAGGTTCGATTCTGGTCAAGGGCATGTACCTGGGTTGCGGGCACATCCCCAGTAGGAGATGTGCAGAAGGCGGCTGATCGATGTTTCTAACTCTATCTCTCTCCCTTCCTCTCTGTAAAAAATCAATAAAATATATTTTAAAACACACACACACACACACACACACACACACACAAAAAAAAAACATCTGCTCTTTCCAGGAAACGTGTACCCACTGGTCCAGCTCAGGGAGGACACCTAGTAGGCCTTGGCAGGCTTGGATTTAGGATCTGAGCTCCACACGTTCAACCTTCTTTTGCCAGAGTTTGGCAGAGCAAGAATTAAGTAGACTGACTTGTCCCCTGGCCTGTAATTTGAGGCTGGTTAACTGAGAGTGCTAAACTGCTCTCATAATACATGGAACATGGTTTTTAACCCCTCCCCCCCAAAATGGAGTTTTTACAAAAATGAAATTCTGGGAGCCCATTAGCACCTGTCATTAGGTCAAGACACCTTACACCGGCTTCTTTCATTTCCCAACCCCGTACTTCAGGTGTACAACTGGAGCCCAGAGGAGGCTGTACGCGCCATCACCAGGATCCGGTCACACATCTTTATCAGACCTGGCCAGTTTGAGATTCTCAAGGAGTTCCACAAGATGACTGCAGAGGCAGCAAAGAAGGAGCTGTATCACCCGCCACAGACATGAAGCATGTGGATTAGAAAGAACTCAAGACAACCCAGCTGGCAATAGAATGCAAACACTTAAAGGACCAATGGGGCTTAAGCCCAGGCAACATAACGGAAGTGTGCTAAGTAATGGGTCATTTTTCTCCCTTTGTCATGGTTTCGGTTTCCTGAAATAACACTGCTGTATGGCTAGAAGGATTTAGCCTGGCTTTTATTTGCAGGGGATGGGGATGTGGGATAGGGATGAGGATGTCTTATTTTTTGAATAAGGTCAAAGAAATCTATCGTGCACCTACTACTGCACCTGGTGATATTTAGCACCATAACTCAAAGACATTTAACACTAGGAAAAAGAAGAAATATCAGCTCTGGCTCTTTTCCACTGTCAGAATCTCAATTCACTGGCCCCTCACTTTTGGAGCAGCAGTCCTGTGTATAAAAAAGGAAATATGGTATCCAATCAGGATTGTGGCTGACTTAGAAATGTGTGTGCATGTAACTAGTTTCCCTCAGGAAATCACTCCTTCAGAATTCAAAACAGACACACGTATCCCTCTAGAAACTTTATTTGTATGAACAGTTTCTAGCTCTAGACTGGACTTAGAGCTTTTAAAAGAGTAGAGACCTTATATATTTGAGTTTGAAAAATGTTTCTGCTATTAATAAAAATAATCCTTTCTACTGTTTTCTGGCTTATCCCTTAGAGTAAGCCAAAAATCAAACCGAAATATACATTTCCTGACAGACAGATGAGAAAGCAATAGACACAATGTCCAGAATTTTAGAGTTGACTCTTGCTGGTGAAGGACACCTTCAGTTTTGTCCATTCTCCCACCAAAGCCTGAAGGAAAAACTCTTAAACACTTAATTCTTTGTGAAAAAATTACCAAATAACTTTGCAGACTATAGAAGAAAGATTGGGCATTTTTCCTTTTGTCCTGGGGTCAGGGCTGCTTATATTTAACACTGATCAGGTAAGGAGGGGAGGCGGTACCTCAGATCCGAGGAGCGCTTGCTCTGAGCAGTCTGCGGTGGGCACAGGGTTACCAGGAATGGCAGAGAACAGGCTGGCCTGCACTCAGGCCGCCAGCTGAGCAGTGGCATCTAGAAAGCCCCACAGTGGCTACCCCCGTGGATTCAGGGAAGGGCTGAGTGCTGCCTGTTGAACATGTGCCACAAAATAACATAGTGCTCTGGGTTGGGATTTTGGAGACTTCCAGTTTGTGTGGGCAGGTACTGGCAGAGGGGAGGACAAAAGTCAGCCCCTCTTCCCCCGCTGCCTATGCCAACACAAACTGCAGATTAGTAAGCAGCACCTTAATGCCTCTGGTGACTGTGATGGTGGAAGTGGCAGGGTCCAGCTTGTAGGTGTTGGCATCCCCCTTTTTATATCGATCCCGAAAAACATAAATGCTCCCATTACAGCTGGCGATCTTCCAGAGGGGTGGGGTCGAGCTCCAGGCCTCAGGAAGGCAAAGCCGGGTAAAGCTGTCTAGCAGGGGATTGTAGCATACCAGGGAGTCCCCTTCAGCCACGATGAACACCAGATCCTTATGCACAGCGGCATGCATGCGGCCGGCAAAGGGCAGCACATAGGGCTTCATGTAGCACTTGTCTGTCTCTGTGTCAAAGCACTGGATGAGTCGGGAAGGTTTGGTAAAGAAGTCCAGGTCATTCTCCTCCCCCCCCAGTAAGTAGATGATCCCGTTGAGATTGGCTCCAGCGGCCCCTGACACAGCCACCTCTAGCTGTGTTGTCTCTATCCAGATGTTATAATCTACCTGGTAATAGATAACTGCATTGGAGAGGGTATCCTGCAGTGTCTTGCCACCCAGTGAATATATAGCATCTCTCGCGGGCACAGACACCATGGTGTGCTGGAGCCGGTCCCGGGGTAAGGGTGCACACCACTCCCAGTCCACAGTGGCGTTGTTACACTTCCACATGCGCCGTGGGATGGACCCTCCTACCACGTACAAGTCTCCACCATGCTTGCAGGCTGCAGTGATCTGGTGGCACAAACTGTTTTGGCCACGTACACTGATGGAGTCATCTTCAGCACAATGCAAGGACACAGCCAATGAGTGGGTACGAGATGACTCTTTCCCGATGAGATAAATGTGCACATTCTCCCCAATTTCCTATTGGAAAAATTAAAATTATAAGTGGTATCTACCGATTCTAGGCTAAGGTTCAGCTTAGACTCAATGCTTTAAGGTCTTAGGCCACACACTTGTATTTTGCTCTAGCCTACTCCCCTCTGGTTTCTGGGTGTCACCCTGACTCTCCTCCAATCACTTTTCAGGCATTTTATGCCGGGGCGGAGAATCTGTTGCACTCATCCTCTCAGCTTCTTAAAACTATCACGAGCTGGTGATTCAGACAAAGGGTGCTTAGGATTGTTAATGCAGTGATGAAAGTAGTTCCATCGAGGAGCTTTGGAGCTCAGAGGCACACATATCCTTCTCCCCCAGCTCCTATCAACTTCAAGCCAGAGACAGTCACCATTAAAATGGCCAGCCCAATTGACGGGTGTAATACATGGCTAGTATAGTGTCCCAATCCAAAGAAATCTGCCTTACCTTCAAGCTACTCTTGAGTGACTCTGCAAAAGATTCTCTTTCCTCTTTATTAAAATTGATCCAGGCTTCTATTGCCTCTGTTGGGTTCTGGGAACATGGAACTCCATCTGTTGAGACCCAAAGGAAAGGCATGGTCAATGGCACTCTGACAATCCAAAAGGGAGATCTAGAGCCAGGGACTTTAAATATATGAATCACTTTGTTAGACTACCACCATGTGTGTATGTGTACACGTATGAGAAAATCTCAAATTGCCTTTTAATCAAAATGGGTGGTATGATATACTCCCATTTGCCACAGAAGCAATCTACTGGGCTGCAGAGCTCACACCTAAGTTATGTGTATATCTCACTTGCAGTATCAGGATTGTAACCTAAACTTGGCCAATCACTTAAAATATTTTTTAGGGCCCAGCCGGCATGGCTCAGTGGTTGCACGTCAACCTATGAACCAGGATGTCATGGTTTGATTTCCAGTCAGAGCACATGCCCAGGTTGTGGGCTTGATCCCTGGGGTGGGGGGGGAGGGGGAGGTGCGTGCAGGAGGCAGCCAATCAATGATTCTCTCTCATTGATGTTCCTATCTCTCCCTCTCCCTTCCTCTCTAAAATCAATAAAGGTATATTTTTTTAAAGTTTTTTTTTAGGTATCTCGACTTATCCATCATTCATCATAAATTTACTTAGGTAACAGGTACATGCAGAGTGCAGGATAGATAAGAACACCTATGGCCCTAGCTGGTTTGGATCAGTGGATACAGCGTTGGCCTGTGGACTGGAGGGTCCCAGGTTCGATTCCAATCAAGAGCACATGCCCGGGTTGTAGGGGGCTGCAGGAGGCAGCCAATCAATGATTCTTATCATTGATGTTTCTATATCTCTCCCTCTCCCTTCCTCTCTGAAATCAACAAAAATATATTTAAAATAAACAAAAAACAGAAATAGAAAAAAGAACACCTATGCACAGGGGAGATTAGAGTATACATACAAATACTTCACTACCTTCTGCTTTTCTTTTCCTGGAGTCTTCCTCAAAAGGAACTCTCTCTGACAGCAGCTACACTAAATCTCAATTCCTTTCAGAAGATACCTAAATTCCCACCAATACCGTAAACTAACACCAGGAAGCCTGAGGGTTTCTTTCTCTTGAACTAGAACATGCACTGGGTATGATATGCCCCCTCCCTCAACTTACCGGAGATGATATCGGTGAGTAGGTGGTGGGGCAAGTGGAGAAACTCCTCTGTGTCCTGCAGCTGGGCTAGGTGGGCCTTCGCACAGTGCTTGGCAGCAGTGTAGAGCTCAGGATCACTGTGCCGATCTGCCAGCCACATCACCTGAAGGCAGTTCCCCACCTGCACTGTGCGGGCCAAAAACCGAGAACATTCCTCAAAGAGAGATGTCAGCTGATACATATCTGACACCTCATAAATTTCCTGCAGCTCATCAGCTCTAAGTTTCACAGTCCCATGGTAGATATAATCTACCAGGAGCTGGAAAACAGACTCACTGACATCCTGCAGCACAATCACCCGGTTGTGGGCCTCCTTCAGGTTGGAAGTGAACATGGACCGGAAGAAGCAGCTTTGAGCTGAGAGGACCAGCCGGTGGAGCTGAAACTCCCGGCCTTCCACTGAAATGGTGACGTCAGCAAACAGCTCTTCCTCCAGACACAGTTTCATGATGCCCTGAGCCACACGGCCTGAGTGTGACCGATCTTTGAAAGTGTAGTTCACAAAGTAGTTTTCATCCATGAATGCTCCAGGCTCCTCGGGTGATTCCATGGTAGCCAACTTCTCTCTCTGCCAGTTGTCTGCAAAGTGACACCACCCTCAATGACAAGGAATCCACGCCCACAGTCTATGAATCAAATGGTGCAATTCAGAGGGAGAAGGAAAAAGTGTTAACAAAGTGGGCCCAGATTGTCCTTAATCCTGGCCCGGCCAATAACATCTCTGATGATCTCCTTCAACTACAGCTGGGTTCACTCTGCAATGGCACCCCAAACCTACTAAAATCAATACAATTTCTTACTATGGGTGTTTCCTTTCCGTGATGTAACAAAAGACCTGGAATTTTTGGTCAAGGCATGAAAACAAGTGGTTGGAGTAAGCCAATTAATTATCTTAAAAACCTGGCAAAGGGCCTTCAAACCAAATAACTACTGGGTATAAAACTAGCGAGGTTCTGGAGAGTAGAACCAGGCAAAAAACACACCCCAAATCCTTGTGTCCAGGTAGACGCTCTCCCTCCCCCGGCGCTCGCATGAAGTCCAGACCTTCTACTATGAGGCTTGGCAGGGACATCTGTCAGCCCCACATCTGCTCTTTTCTGAGTTTCTCCCCCGCATTTCTCAGTTCACCCTAATCACTCCCCAAGGCTCCGTCCCAGAACTCGAGACAGAGCCAGTCGTCCCAAGCCCAGGGCACAAGGAGGCCCATTGCCACGTGCAGTGTCGCCGCTCCACCTGGAGTCGGCCTGGGCACGGGAAACGGTCGCCGGGGAAACCGTCCTCCGCCCCGCCGCCCCCCAGGCCCGCCAGCCCCGTCAAAAGCTTAGCTAAGGAAGCGGGGAAGGGGTGTGGAATGTGGAACCCAGAACCCCGCCCCTCCCCCTCCTCTCACCGTTCCGATTCTTTAGGGTCCTCGCCTTCTTTCCAGATTCTGCCACACCAAGCTAGGGCCACGTTCACCTCACGGTTTTCCCACCAGCTTGCCTTGTTTTCTCACCTGCTTCCCTTCCTATCATTCGGAAGGCCGGAACCCGGAACCTCTGCTTTTGGCCCGGCGTCCGCCCGGAAGAAAATATAAGGCACACTTCCGCTTCCGGTCCGTGCCCTTGTGGCTCCGTGTCCTGTAGGTCTTGCCTTTGCTGCTTGGTCTGCATCTGGGGATTATGGCGGCCGCCGCTAGGGCCTGGTGTCGGGGGCTCGTGGGGGCCGTGGCGCTGCCCAGGGGTGAGCAGGGGATGACCGGATGAGGCTCGCGGCAGGAGGGCGGGCGACCAGCGCAGGGAGCCCCCCAGGCCTCACCCTGCGCTCCTGTGCCTTTTATCTCCCGGTGCAGGGGTTGGACGACCCTCGGCGCTGTTGCTGCCGGTGAGGAGGGAAAGCGCTGCGGCCGACAAGCGCCGTGAGTATGTGCGGCCCGGCCCTTCTCGGGACTACGGGCGGGGGCTCCTCATTCCCTTCGTCATGTTTGTCCTTGCTCTGGGATGCCCTTCCCTGCGGCCTGGCAAGTCTACTTGTCCTTGGAGAGCTGACTGCTACGATCCTCACTCTGCAGGCCGAATCGGGCCCTCCCTGTTCCCTTAGGTCCTTCTGTTATGTCCATGATTGCCTCCTCGTCCACTTCCGTGATTCTCTTTTTCTGATTAAACTGTCAGCTGTTTGAGAGCGGGAAACATATTTGGGCCTTAGAGCCCAATATAGAGCCTGTTGTCATAGTAGCTCACATTGAGTGCTTATTGTGTGCCAGGCACCTGGGAGGTGTTTTTATGAATGGTCTTAAAGTCCTCACAACAATCTCATGAGGTAGATAGTATTTTCAAACTATGAATCAGGCTGGAGACAGTTCAGAGAAATAACTTGCTCAGGGTTACACTATTGAGTGACAGAGCAGGCCTGCTTGCTGCCAGAGGCAGAGAACAAATAGCCATTACCCTGCAGTTTATGCTGTTTGGGTGTTCAGTGATTAGGTTGCATGAATGACTGTATAGAGATACGTTATAGACAATATAAGCCAACTGTGACTCAGGAGACCTGGCATTTCCCCCTTTTTGGGTCTCAGTTGCTTCATCTATGCGCAAAAAAATAAGGTTCAACTGGAGAGTCTGAGAGCTCGTAAGCCCTGAAGTTCTTCCTTGAGAGCCTGCTATGAGCCAGGTGCTAAGGAGATGCACAGGAGCAAGCGTTCTGGCTCCCACGTTATGGAGTCTGGTAAGAGAGCGGAGACATATGTTGCTGTAACAGAAATGCAGGCTTTATGAAGGGAAGAACCATGGAGTAGTTCTGAGAAGAGGCAAACATGCCAGCTTCAATATGAGAGTCTTTGCGGACTGTGTAGGTGGCATTTCCCCTAAGGTTTCATCACTTCCTATTCCCTCCATCCTCACCTTCAAAGTTCCACAGGGAGCCTCTTATAAGCCCAGACTGGATTGGATTGGATTCAGGGCTGGTTGCCGTCTTTGCCATTTGTTTGTTAAATATGCCTTCTCCTTTCAGCCACTGTCAGACCACGGAATGATGTGGCCCACAAACAGCTCTCAGCTTTTGGAGAGTATGTGGCTGAAATCCTGCCCAAGTATATCCAACAAGTTCAGGTAATATTCAGTACTGTTGTTTGGCCGGGGTCAAGAAAGAACCATATTCTCAGGTCATGTGGGAGTGGGCAGCCTGGGATCAAAAACCACAAATTCTGCCCAGCCAGTGTGGCTCAGTGGTTGAGCATCAACCCATGAACCAAGAGGTCACTGCTTTAATTCCTGGTCAGGGCATATGCCTGGGTTGCAGGATTGATCCCCAGTAGGGCTGTGCAGGAGGCAAACGATTGATGTTTCTCTCTCATCAATTGTTTCTCTTTAAAATCCTCTCCCTTCCCCTCTCCTCTAGAATCAAGAAAAACATATTTTTTAAAAAGCCCCACAGATTCCTCCATCCCAACTCAGGTTTCTTTCTCTGCCTTAAATCAGAGAATCAGCTAAAGTTAGTTGCTCCCTTGGTAGCTCTTTGCTGTCTCTACCTCCTGCTCCATGTCTGCAGGTGTCCTGCTTCAATGAGTTAGAGATCTGTATCCATCCTGATGGAGTCGTTCCAGTGCTGACCTTCCTCAGGGATCACACCAATGCACAATTCAAATCCTTGGCTGACTTGACAGCCGTGGACATCCCAACCCGGCAGAACCGTTTTGAGGTCAGTCAGGAGGTTTGAGAAGGTTTCCGGGGGTAAAGGAAGGAAAGGGAACAGAACACTTTTAGACTAAGAGTTGCCAGTAGGAACCATAGCCTTCTTAGTTTTAGTTGGGTCAAACAGCTTAACAAAACAGTTAAAGTAGAGCCTCAGCATCAGGCAGGCCTCGAGTTTAAATCCTGGCTCTGCCATCTATACACTGTGTGAATATTTTGTTTAATCTTTTTTTGACTTTTTGCTTTCTTTTGGGCAGTATAAACTTGTCCCTAACTCAAGGTGGTTGTGAGGATTAAATGAGATAGTACAGGTAGATTGCTAGCACTCAAGTTTTCAATATATTTAACTATTGACATTTACTGATCATATACTATTTGCCAGATCCTGGGATAGAGAAATAACACCCAATAACTGCCTTCCAGGAGTCCCTCAAACTCTAGTCAGGAAGGATACATAAACAGCTTAGTGTAATAACATATGACACATGGTATGTTAAAGATGTGCTATAATAATGAAGGAGGACCACTTAGCCCTGTCTGGAGGCTTCTTTGAAGGGAGAGAGAATGTTTGTGCTGAGTCTTAATGGATGACCAGAAGACTAGGAATTAGTCCAGTGAGGATTGGGATTGGGGGAGATGTGGTTTAGAGAAATCCTAGACCAGTGATGGCGAGCCTATGACACCCGTGTCAGAGGTGACACGCGAACTCATTTTTTTTGGTTGATTTTTCTTTGTTAAATGGCATTTAAATATATAAAATAAATATCAAAAATATAAGTCTTTGTTTTACTATGGTTGCAAATATCAAAAAGTTTCTATATGTGACACAGCACCAGAGTTAAGTTAGGGTTTTTCAAAATGCTGACACGCTGAGCTCCAAAGGTTCGCCATCACTGGCCTAGACAAAGGGAATAGCATGAACAAAGACAAGTATGCCGATTGCTGAGCAGCTACATGTTAGTGTGGCTTAGGCCTTTGGAAGCAGTTGTAAGTACAGCAGGATCTTGAGGTTTTGAGCTTCAGGACAGAAGGCAGATTTATCTAATTCACCTTGTGTCGTCATTGATATTCCCCCTCAGGGACTTCAGCTTGTGGCCATCTTGGTCCTCCATTTCCTCTGTTCTCCCTAGATTGTTTACAACCTGCTGTCTCTGCGCTTCAACTCCCGCATCCGTGTGAAGACCTATACAGATGAGCTGACACCCATTGAGTCCTCCGTCTCTGTGCATAAGGCAGCAAACTGGTATGAGAGGGAGGTGAGTTACTGGGCATGGTGGACCGTGCTTCTGAGCCAGAGTTGCAGAATTGGTTGGAACTACTGTGGGCAGCACAGCCCCTTACCCCCATGTTGGCCATGATGGACTGGTTGCCCGAGGGCCTCTTTTTTCTAGATCTGGGACATGTTTGGAGTCTTCTTTGCTAACCACCCTGACCTAAGAAGGATCCTGACAGACTATGGCTTTGAGGGACATCCTTTCCGGAAAGACTTCCCCCTGTCTGGCTACGTTGAGGTAGGAGCCTTGGAACTGTGATAGCAGCCTCAGGGAAGGACTGGCAGGGAACCTGGGGGATCCTGGGCATGGCAGGAAATATGGTTTGTGGATTGTGGTGGTTTAAGAGCATTGGCTCTGGATTCAAATCCTAGCTCCACTTTTATAATTTGGGGCAAGTTACAAATTTCTGTATGACAGTTTTACTCATCTATGAATTGGGAGCAATAATAGCACTTAACCAATAAGATTTGCAGTGTTCTAAATGATGTATGTGTAATACCTGGTGTACTATAAATGCTCAGTTGATGCTAGCCATTATTGTAGTGATCATTTGAATGATCAGGGCAGCCTTGAAAACACAGAGTCTGTCCCCAAGATCTGAAAGTGGAATGTCATTTTACCCTACCCTGGATCTCTGAGAAGGAAGCTGACAGGGAAGACACTGAATATTCAGCCTTTGAGAATGGCCAGAGGCAGGACCAGTAACATCCTATCTAATAAAGAGGGAACATGCTAATTGGCCCTCACACCGTTGCAAAGATGGTGGCGCCCATAGCCAATAAGGAGGGAATATGCTAATTGACTGCCCTGCCCTCAAAGATGGCAGCACCCACAACCACAAGATGGTGGTTCCCAGTCCTCTCAGCCCCGCAGGGGCAGCAGGCTCCCAGCAAGGCCAGGCCCACCCCCAGATGAGCCCGGCCACTCTGCACACCTACCTCCGGAGTCCCCCAGTCCCCTCAGCCACCCAGGTGCCCAGGGCCGCCCGAGGCTCAGGTAACCAGAGCCGGCTGAGGCTTGTGCTGCCGGCAGTGGCAGCAGCAGGGGTGTGATGGGGCGTTGCCTTCCCCTGATCGCCTCCCACCAGAGGGCTCTCGGACTGTGAGGGGGGCAGGCCAAGCTGAGGGAACCCCCCTCCAGGGTATGAATTTTCATGCAGCGGGCCTCTAGTGTGACCATAAGGGCCTTATGAAGAAGTCAGTGCTTTGCTTTACCACCCATGTGCTGCAGGTTGTTTGTCAGCAGGGAGATGATCTATTGTGTACATTAACACCAGTGATTTTGTAGCAAAGTGACTTAGAAATACCAAGATAGTGGCAATCCAGCCCTTCTCTTTAGTGCTCAAATGCTCCTGTTAGTATTTTGCATGGATCCCTTTCCTTCTCAAGCTACTTCTGGTCAGGGTTACTTCCCTCTCTTCTCCCTTTCTTTCACCCCTCCTGTCCCCCTAATTTGGACTGCCTCTTAACCCTAGCACTTGTTTGTTCTTATCTTATCCAGCTGATCCTCCAATAACAAGAAAAGCCATGTCAAATTGATTGCCTCACATCTTTTATTTTTTTGATTGCCTCACATCTTGACACCGATAATGCCAAGGCCCCAAGGCCTGAACTTGAGTGCCTGCCAGTTAGGTGTACTCTTTTCAGCCACTGACTTGCTCTCTGATCCTGGGCAAATTCTTATAAAGTGTGTGGATGGGTGAGCAAATTCAGTTCAACTGGAAAGAGCTCATAATGGGATGGTGGGCAGGTGAGCCTGACTGGGTGATGGCAGGGCATGAGACAGAGGGCGTTTTGGACTATGGTTAATAAGTAACAGGTGTGGATGGAGACTTGAAACAGGCTGGGACAGGAATCAAGAATAGAGAAGTACAGGGGCTGGCATGGGGAAGTGGGCTGCTTGCTGTAACAAGGCCTTGCTCCGTGCACAAACCTGCCTTTTTCTTCTGCAGTTACGCTATGATGATGAAGTGAAGCGTGTGGTGGCTGAGCCGGTGGAATTGGCCCAAGAGTTCCGCAAGTTTGACCTGAATAGCCCATGGGAGGCTTTCCCTGCCTATCGCCAGCCCCCTGAGAGTCTCAAGCTTGAAGCCGGGGACAAGAAACCCGAAGCCAAGTAATTCCAGGGAAGGCATCTGGATCCTAGAAAGCGCCTTATCTATAATTGAGTCTGTGTAAATAAAATCCTAGACTTGCCATTTCCTGTGTGCTTATCAACATGAAGTTTTTACTCAGGAGAGGGGAGATGGCAGACAGGAGTTTTCCCTGCTGACTACCAAACTGGGAGTCTGTTTTAACGGGACTGAATAGTGCAGTTACAGATGTGGTGACCTGCAGGCCTGGATGTATTTCTGAGGGGTGTTCTGCAGCTGAAATTCAAAGTTCATATAGCACATAGGCCTCAGGGTGGGTGTGGCATGGCCTCTAGCAGGGTCTCAACAACTGCTGGAGAAAGCCCATGTCTGGCAGTAACTTATGTGTCCAGGGGCCTGGATGGAACCAGGAAACCACTATCCACCCTCATTCCATCCAAATATCCACAGGGTTCCATGAGCTGCAGCTCCTTTTTGAGTCTTGAACCCTGCAACCTGACAGCCCATCACGCTTGATCTAAGGGAATCTTCCTAAACCAGTGATGGCGAACCTTTTGAGCTCGGCGTGTCAGCATTTTGAAAAACCCTAACTTAACTCTGGTGCTGTGTCACATACAGAAATTTTTTGATATTTGCAACCATAGTAAAACAAAGACTTATATTTTTGATATTTATTTTATATATTTAAATGCCATTTAACAAAGAAAAATCAACCAAAAAAATGAGTTCGCGTGTCACCTCTGACACGCGTGTCATAGGTTCGCCATCACTGTCCTAGACTCTGGCCTGAGCCAAGAATGTTGTAAACAAGCAAAGGAGGACCCAGGGCTGAGGCAAATGCCATTCGGGAGCCGCAGAGCTTCCAGTGGATAGGACTCCCACGTGAGCTGGTCTGGACTCTGTGCAGCCGGTCTGGCTGAGTGCCTAAGGTGGAAGTGCTTGGCTTTGCCTGCCCATGGCACTGTCCAGTCAGTCGGGGATGCATTTGTAGGACTGAGCTTTGCAGCTGATGCTCTTGGCTGCTGAGGGGCTCCCTGGAGGCTGGGCTGGGGACTGGGCGTTAGGAGTTGGGCTCAGCTGCAGGATGTTTTGGGTATGAGGACAGATAAATAGTAAGGTAGTATTACGGCCTGGGCTCTTCCCTACCTTTTAGGAGGGCCAAGCTCAAGCTGTTTGCTACCCAACACCTTTTTTCTATTAACTAAGAATCCGGTCCATCTGGGTAGCAACAGCCTCCTGCTGCCAACAACCAAGGATTTCACATTTCTATGGGATGGAAAGATCCCTGGGAAGCCAGAGCCAGCTCCTCCCTGTTTTGCTTTAAAGACTGACACGCAAAGCAGGGAACACTTGAGCAGCCTGCAGTGGAAAGCTGGAGCCATGGTGTGTGGCAGACGGATGCAGGAGCAGAGAGCAGCCAGGGAGAGCAGAACTCAGAGGACGCGGTGGGGCATGGCGGGGAAAATTAAGTTCCTGGCTTGGCTAATGGTAGCCATCTGCCTCCTCCCTGGGTTGACTACAACCCAGCACCACGAAGGTACCAGGGCTTCAGGGTGGGGTGGATGGGAACCAAGGAAGGCTGCTGGCTAATAGCAGTTACAGTTGGTTCTGCGCCTAGCAGGGCCTCGGGACTGTGGGCTGACGTGTGCTGCAGAGGTTAATGGTGTGGGCCTCTCCCCTAGAACAGGAAAGGCCCAGGTGAAGTGAAGGGAGATAAACGTAGGTGCTGACCCTGGACAGAGTTGTGCCTGGGCTTATTCTGGTTGATGCCTGAAGCAGTTTCCCTTGATCTGCCCTGGGTTTGGAACAATCATTTCAAGGGACGGGTGCACCCTGGGGTGGGATGAAGGAAGCTATAACAGACATTCTGCCTTGCCTGGTCTCCCTGCCTTGCATACCATCACTACTGAGGAGTAAGGAGGGAGTGGGTTCTTTTCAAAAGGGGTCCTCAATCTTTGAGGAAGGTCACTGTTTTAGGTTACACTGTAAACCAGATGATAGGGAGGGAGGGGGAGGGGGAGGGGGAAGTAAAGTGTCTCGTGACCCGTTGCCCTGGAGCTCTTGGCCAAGGGAACTGCGAAGTTCAAGGAGTTCTGGACATTTGCTGAGGTGGTATCTGGGTTTGGGATGATGATCTTGGAATAAGACCTATGCCTGGGGTGGTAAATGTCAATGTGTGTATGTGTGTAGGGAGTGTGGGGGTGGAGGGGAATGGAATGGCAATCCTACTCTTGCAGCTAAAGTCTAGACACTCTTACAGGCAGCTAAGGGGCACTTCTGGGAAGCTGGGTTGTTTAGGACGGAGCTTGGCAGGGGCCTGACTTCTCTCTGCTGCCCCAGGGCAGCCCATGGACAGCACCAGCGTGGCAGGTGGCCTGCAGGAGCCAGAGGCCCCGGAAGTGATGTTTGAGGTCTTTCCTCCAGCTTGGGACATGGGGGTGGGGGTGCAGTGTCCAGAGGTCCCTAAACTCAGAGTTGGGAAGGGGGATGTCTCCAGCTGGGCTTGCTGGGGGAGGGGGGCAACCCAGCATGGGACCTACTGCCTGCTTATGCTCCCCTGGCCCACTCTAGCTCCCTACCCTGCCCCCGGAGCTCAGCCCACTCCTTACACAGCTCCCCTTGCAGCTGCTCTGGGCCAGGCTGGAGCTGGATGTCACGGGGCAGCTGCACATCCAGGACGAGGAACTGGCGTCCACACGTCCAGGCCGCCGACTCGGGCTCCTCCTGCAGCACCACGTGCCCAGTGACTTGGAGGGTGCTGAGCAGCGGCTGCAGCAGTTCCAGGACCTGCGGAAGGGGCCTCCTCTTAGCCCCTGGGATTTTGAACATCTGCTCCTCACCGGCCTATCCTGTGTCTACCGGCTCCACAAGGCTTTGGAGGCTGAGGAGCGGGGTCGCTGGGCCCAGGTCTTTGCTCTCCTGGCACAGGAAACACTCTGGGACCTGTGCAAAGGCTTCTGCCCCGAGGGCCAGCCTCCTCCTTTGGGGCCCTGGGCCTCAATCCTTGACCCCATCCCCTGACCCTCCCCTTTCACCTATCAGCCCGCTAATTCCCACCCCCAAGCCAGACTCATCCTGGGCAGGTGCTTCCATATGGCACCTGGTTCTTCCCACCGTGTTCCTGTCCTTGGGCTTAGGGCTGCACCCTGGACCATGCTTACCTCTCCCCTGTCTTCTTCCCTGGGCCCTGATAGGCAAAGAGGCCAGACTCTGGGTGCCAGGCAGCAGGTGCAAAACTAAAGGCAGGACTTGCAGGCAGTGTGTGTGGTGTGTGTGGTGTGTGATATGTGTGTGATATGTGTGTGCGTGGTGTGTGTGGTATGTGCATCTGTGGTCTGTGTAGGGTGTGGGGTGTGTGTATGGTGTGTGTGTGCATGTTGTGTGCGTGGGGTGTGTGTATGGTGTGTGATGTGTGTGTACATGTGCATGGGGTGTGCTGTGTGTGTTGTGTGCAGGGGGTGTGTGGTCTGTGTGGGGTGTGTGTGGGGGGGTGTGTGTAGGGTGTGTGTACGTGTCCATGGTGTGTGTGTGTGTGGGGGGGGGGGGTGTGGTCTGTGTGTGTGCGTGGTCTGTGTGTGGTATGTGTGTGGGGTGTGTGTGGGGTGTGTGTGTACATGTGCATGGTGTGTGTGTGTGCATGGTGTGTGTGTATGGTGTGTGATGTGTGTGTACGTGTGCATGGTGTGTGTGTGTGGTCTGTGTGGTGTGTGTGTGTATGGTGTGTGATATGTGTGTACGTGTGCGTGGTGTGTGTGTGGTGTGTGTGTGTGGTCTGTGTGTGTGTGGTCTGTGTGTGTGTGTGATTGTGTGTGTGTGGTCTGTGTGATGTGTGTGTGTGTGTGGTCTGTGATATGTATGTGGTCTGTGTGGTGTGTGATGTGTGTGTGTGGTCTGTGTGTATGGTGTGTGATGTGTGTGTACGTGTGCATGGTGTGTGTGTGTGGTCTGTGTGGTGTGTGTGTGTATGGTGTGTGATATGTGTGTGTACGTGTGCATGGTGTGTCTGTGTGGTGTGTATGTGTGTGGTCTGTGTGGTGTGTGTGTACGTGTGTGGTCTGTGTGGTGTGTGTGTATGGTGTGTGATGTGTGTGTACGTGTGCATGGTGTATGTGTGTGTGGTGTGTGTGTATGCTGTGTGATATGTGTGTGTACGTGTGCATGGTGTGTGTGTGTGGCCTGTGTGGTGTGTGATGTGTGTGTGTGTGTGGTCTGTGTGGTGTGTGTGTGTGTGTGTGTGATGTGTGTGTACGTGTGCGTGGTGTGTATGTGGTCTGTGTGGTGTGTGTGTGTGGTGTGTGGTGTGTGTGGTGTGTGTGGTCTGTGGTGTGTGTGTGTGTGTGTGTGTGTGGTGTGTGGTGTGTGTGGTGTGTGATGTGTGTGTGGTCTGTGTGATGTGTGTGTGGTCTGTGTGTGTGTGTGTGGTGTGTGGTGTCTGTGGTCTGTGGTGTGTGTGTGTGTGTGTGTGGTGTGTGTGCGTATGGTGTGTGATGTGTGTGTACGTGTGCATGGTGTGTGTGTGGTCTGTGATGTGTGTGTGGTCTGTGTGGTGTGTGTGTGTGGTGTGTATGTGTGTGGTCTGTGTGGTGTGTGTGGGGTGTGTGGGTATGGTGTGTGATGTGTGTGTACGTGTGCATGGTGTGTGTGTGTGGTCTGTGTGTGTGTGGTGTGTGTGGTCTGTGGTGTGTGTGTGTGTGTGGTCTGTGTGATGTGTGTGTACGTGGTGTGTGTGGTCTGTGGTGTGTGCGCGTGGGGTGTGTGTGTGGTCTGTGTGGTGTGTGTGTGTGTACGTGTGCATGGTGTGTGTGTGTGGTCTGTGATGTGTGTGTGTGTGTGTATGGTGTGTGATGTGTGTGTGGTCTGTGTGGTGTGTGTGTGTGTGTGTGTGTGTTGGGGTCAGGCCTGAGAAGTGTGTTTTAAAAGATGCTGGAAGGGAAGCCGCTCCTAGTCGGGGGTCAGGCCCGGGCCCTCCCCTGGCGTCCCTGAGGCCCTGGGCATCCGGGGGCCTTCTGAACGCTCCACACCCCGGCTCGGCACCCCCTGGAGCCCGGCCACTCTCCGGGCCCTGAACCTCCACGTCCCCGCTGGGTGGGGGCCGCCTGGCGTTCTTGGCTCTGTCTGTTGGGAGTGAAGGGAAGCGGGTGGAGAAATGCATTTTCAGGGCGGAGGGACGTGTCGGTCCATCTCAACCAGCCCCGGGGAGCGGTCGGAGGAGGGAGCGGGGCTGGGAGGGGATGGACGGCGCAGGCCGAGCTGGCGGGGAGCCCCTGATCCCGTGCCCCCCCCCCCCCATAAAGTGTTCTGTTCCGGCCTCCTGGGTCCTGTCCTGAGCCGATCGCCCTCCGAATGCGGGCCGCAGGAGGTGGGCGCCCAGGGGCCAGCTGCACCCTTCACCCCGGCCGGAGGAGGCATGCCGGTGGACGCCGCGCTCCCAGAGGAGCTGGGTATGGCCGTCAACCACCCGCGGACCAAGGACGGAGGGCCCGCGGGGAGGAGTTAGACAGGGACGGACCCGACAGGGACACGCACGGGAGGCCCACCACGGGTCGGATGTGTCGGATTCAAATTCTCCTCTCACCTTCCCAGGCCTGACGAAGCGTGCCCTCTGACCCCTGACCCTCGACCCTCACCCCACCCCAAAGAGACAAGACAGAGAAAGTCGGGACACAGGCGCGGCGCAGGCCCGCTTTATTGGCATCCGGCCGCGCGGGGCTGGCCGCCATGCTCGCCGGCGAGTGGCGGGGCGGCGCGGCTCGGCCTGCCGGCTCTCGGCTCCTCCGGGCGGGCGCTCAGAGCTCCAGCGGCCCGGGGCCAGGCGGGCCGGCGGGGTCGGGGGCGGGCTCGGGGTCGGGGTACACCAGGAAGCCGGAGAAGGTGATGTACTTGCCGTGGTTGCTGTAGGCCCCGTAGCCGTCGTGGTCGTGGCTGAGCAGCCACACGGCGTCGCCGCGCCGCAGCGCCAGCATCACGCTCTGGCTCTGCATCTCGCGGCGCCGCGACGCGCCGTCGTCGTAGATCATGGCCTGCACCTCGTCGCGGTTCTTCATCAGCTTCACCGACAGCGTCTTCCGCGGCAGCTTGCCCAGCGTGAAGGAGAAGAAGTAGGCGCCGGGCAGGCGGCAGCGGAACACGCCGGCCTCCGCGTCGAAGTCGCCGCCGATGTTGACGAGCTCCGTGTCGAAGGCGAGCGGCCGGTGCCGCGGGCGGGGGCCGGCGTCCGAGCCCACCAGGCTGCGCGTGCGCGCCGCCGAGAAGGCCGAGCGCGGCTCCGGGGGCGCGGGCGCGGGCGGGCGGCGCGCAGGCGCGGGCGCGTCGGCGTCGGCGTCGGCGTAGACCAGGTAGCCGCTGAAGGTGGCGCCCGGCGCGCCCAGCGCGTACTGCGGGGCGCCGTGCAGCCGCAGCCACACCGCGTCGCCGTAGTCGAGCTGCAGCATGGCGCTCTGGCTGGCGGCGCGCCGCGCGCCGGGCCGCCGCTGCTCGTCGAAGGCCAGCGCCTGCACCTCGTCGCGGTTGCGCACCAGCATCACCGACAGGCTCTTGTGCGGGGCCTTGCCGGCCGTGAAGGAGAAGAAGTAGGCGCCCGGCACGCGGCAGCGGAACCGGCCCGTGGCCGCGTCGAAGTCGCCCCCGATGTTGACGTACACCTTGTCGAAGGTCACCGCCATCTCCGTCTCCGAAGTGCCCTCCAGAGGCGTGGTGCGCGCCGCCGAGAAGGCCGAGCGCAGCTCCGTGGAGCCGGGCCCGGGGCCCAGGGCCCAGGAGGCTGCCGGGCCCAGCAGGCCCAGCAGGAGCGGCAGCATGGCGCCTGCAAGGGGGAGAGGGGGGCAGAGGGAAGGAGAGGAGGGTTGGGCGGGGGCACCTCCAAATTCCCGGAGCTCTGGGCCCGGAGACCGGTTCTCTTCCCAGCCCTGCCCTGGATGCGTAACTAGGACTCGGTTTCCCATGCACTTGGGTGAGATCAGTGATTTGCAAACTGCGGCAGTCTCGCCTGGAGAGCGTATTCACACAGGCATGGTTGGTCCTCATCGCCATTTAGTAGGTCTCATGAGGCCTGAGAATGTTCGTTTTCCAACGCATCCCCAGGTAAAGTAGATGCTGCTGGTCCAGGGACCACACTTTGGGAACCATTAGATTAGGCCAGTGATTCTCCAAACTTCTGTTGTTACAAGCACCGGAACCCCTTCCTCAGGTGAAAGCTGGCATACGCAGAACACAGATGCAAGCAGAGTGCTCTGTTTGTAGGGGCTTCCCCTGCCCCCTTCCCCTTGGCACCAGGGGCCCTGGGAACACAAGGGGTGGGCAAGGGGTCTCTGAGTGCCCGTCAGCCCCTGGGTTGCTGCATTTTCCTGTGGCTATTCTGTGGTCTCTGGCTTGCCTTTCACTCAGGCATTGGTTTGCTGTACTGATGCCCTCCGTGATGGCTGCTGTTTCAGCCCATCTAGGCAGGAAAGGAAATAGCTCCTCCCTGACCCCTCCCCTGGTCTCTGACCCACACAAGAGTCAGCTTCCACGCTGGGCTTCCGGATTCCTCAGGGGCCCTTCTGACTTCTCTGAGCCTGGGGGCTGGTCACAGGGAAAGGGGAGAGCCACCATTCCAGCAGGCCTCGGACAGTGTGAGGTCAGCAGCTTTGTTCTTCAGTGGAGTGGAGAGGACCGACAGCTAGACCTGGGCTTGCTTGGGTCCTGGCTCTACCACTGACGCTGTGAAATCTTAGGCAAGTTCCTTAACTTCTCTGGGCATGGCTTCCTCTGTGTAAAGGGGAGGAAACCTGACTGTGAGAACGTTCTGAGATAACAGGTGTGAACACAGTCTGCACGGCTGTGTCACCCAGGTGTGTAGGTGCTTCTGCTCTTGGCCTTGAGGAAAGCAATCTGATCAGGTTCTTGATGTAAGGGGTTAGGGACTCAGTAACGCCTACTCCTGGGCGCTTGGTGAAGGCACTGCTTAACTCAAAGGAGCCGCTCTCCGATGGTGGGGTTCCATCAGCTTCCTAGTAGGCATAGGCTTTGGGAATCGAATACCCAAAGGCCTTGAAATGGAGACAAAGCAGGACAGAAAATGAGCTGGCAACAGCCTAGCATGGGGGCTTCTGTAGGCAGTATCCTGGGAGCGTGTGTCGCTTTATGTCTCTTTGAGACATGGGGACCTGCCAGGTGCAGCTGTACAGATGTGCTCTACACAGCAAGGCCATTCACCTTGGGGTAGGTGGGCACTGGAACCTAGCCCGCATTACACTTGCCTGAATGTGTGGGGCTGGAGAAAAGTGCGCCTTTTCCTAACCCTCTTAATAAAGACCCCAAGTCCCCAGCCCAGCTGAACCCTCTCCCTCCAGAGGAGGTACCTTTCCTATTTCCTACAAAGGCCCCCTATGGGTTAGCGCCGAAACCCACGGTGGGGGTTTGGAGTGGGGAAGACTGCACCTCAGTGCATTCCCCTTTGAAAAATTCTTTGGAAATATCTGGGCACCTGGCAAACGAGTGGGTCCTCTCCCACTTAATAGATGAGAGAAGCCAAGACCCAACAAGAGGACGTGTTTTGGACCAAGATCACACGGAGCACTGAGGCAAGCCTTGAGACAGGGTTTATGACTCCAAAATCAGTGTGCCCTCCTCTCCACGGCCTTTCCCTCCTAAACACCACTATTTCCAGGCAACCTGTCCTCTGCCTCAGTTTCCCTTTTTGCAAAATTAGGAGGGGAGTCCAGTGGAATGAGTCTTGGCATCAGGGGTGAAGAAAGAAAACAAAACCAAATAAAACCAACCAAACAAGAACTCCCCCGTTTTGCCTTCTGAGAGCGTGGGAGCATCTGAGCTCTTCCTGACCCTGCTGCTCTCTCAGCTGTCCTGCTACCGGCCCCTGCCCATCCTACCCCCAGCCGGCTGGTGCCCCGTGTTTCCAGGACCCCACCTTTGTTCCACCACTGCCCAGTTCCCAGATGCCTAGGTGCCCTCCTTCCCTGAGCAGGCCAGAGGGGGGAGGGGTCAGGTGGGCATCACAGTGCAGGGAGGGAAATGGCTGCTCCTAGCTCTGTCCAGGTGGAGCGCAAAATAGTCATCTTTAAAGAGAAAAAACTGGGGCACGGATAAGCGGGCAGACCCGGAGTCCGGGGACCCACGGGGTAGGTGCAGCGACGGCAGGCTAAGGGGATCTCAGCCCCTCTCCTCGCCCAGCCCGCTCCCCAAATCCTGCCTCCCTCAAGAGCTCCCCTCCCCACCTACCGTGAAGGCCCCCCATGCTCCCAATAAGCCCCCCCTTCACAGAAGCCAATGAATCATTGCTCATGGGAAAAAATCCCCCAGAAAGGGGTACCCCAGACCTCCTCCCCTCATATCCCCCCGACCCCAGAGCCTCCTTTATTCATCTTTTCCGAGAGAAAGCCCTTGAGCCTCATGAAAAAGCTCCCAGATCCTCCTTGCAGGGAAGGACCCGATTTCCACGCGCCCTCCCCGCCCCCGCCCCCAATTCAGGTTAAACCCCGCCGCCCGCACCTCCCCAGCCCCCGCCCTCCAGCTGCCCTCACCTCACCTGGGTGAGGAAGGGGGTCGGGTCGGTCCGCTTCGAGCCCGCTCGGTTCTGGGCTCCGGGCTCCGGGCCGCGCACGGACCGCCCGCGCTGCGGCGGGAGGGGCCTGGCGGGGCGGCGGGGGCTCGGCAGCTGCTCCCGGGCCGGCGCGGGGTGCGGGGACCCGGTGGGCGCGGGGGCGAGGCGCGAGGGAAAGAGGGCAGCTAGAGAAGGAGCCGGCAGCCGGGCGGGAGGAGAGGCAGGGGCGAGGCGGGAAGGGGAGAGCAGGGAAGCCGGAGGGAGGGGCGCGCCACGGCGGGAAGCCGAGCCGCGGACCCCGGGGCTGGGCACCAGCGCCGAGGAGGCCCCTGTGCAGGCTGCGCGGACTCGGGGCCCTTCCTCCAGCGCGACCTCCCTGGAGCTGGCTTCATCCCTCTGGCTCTAGCGTGCAGGCTGCATTAATCCAAGTGAGCAGAAGGGGAAACTGAGGCCTGCGGCAGAGGCCAAACTGGGGGCGTGGGGGTGGCCCAGGGCACTATAGAGTCTATAGTATATAGACCATCCTCCTCCCTGGTTGGGGGAGAGGGGACTGGAGCAGGACAGAGACCGGACTGGCCTCTGGGCTGCAAGGACAGTGGAAGGTGAGATTTTGGCTGGGCCGATGTCCAGGCTGAGTGGCACTGGGGGAGGGGGTCAATGTCGCCAGTATAGGAAGGGCTTAAATTGACCTAATTTTTCTTCCTCGCCTCCAAATCCGAAAACAAATGCCCCCGGTTGGTTAGGGCAGGAGGAGGAAGACACAGCACCCAGACATCACAGGCTCAGCCTCGACCCCCTGGGGAGGGGTGAGGAAGGGGTGGTCTCTTTGGGGCAGAATTGAATTTTGGCTGGAAAGGCTGCTTTGTCGGTGCCGGAGAGAAGGGAGAGGGTTGAGAGGGACAAGCAAAGGATTTGAAGGACCTGTGTGCAGAGGGACCCTGACAGCCTGCCTAGCGGGGCCAGGGTAGCAGGATTGGGGGGGGGGGGGGCAGGCGGCAGGGCTGGGAACAGCTGTCTTCCAGGTCAGCACCCATCAGAGGCCCTTCCCAAGGCCCCACTCTAGGCTTTGATCCCATCCCGGGGAGCCCAGGGAGCTGGACTCTCAATCAGAGCTGCTGTTCTCTCGAGAGCGTGACCGTGACCGCTGTGGAGGCGATGGCTGCCTGGCACTCAGTACACCGAGTGGAAGGCTTTTCAAGAGCCCTGCTCTGAGGTGCCAGCTGCTGGTGCCGTTCCTGACCCGGCTGACTAGGTGGGGGGCCTGGGCCCGGGTCCTGGCCCTCTGTATGTTCCCTTAGAAGCTTGGTGACCCGTGAAGCCCTCTGGAGCTTTTCGTATGCTACCCCCCAAAACTTAGTGGTCCCAGTTAATTTAGTACATGTTAGTCCTCATGACGTCTTCAGGATGTTAGGCGAATGATGAATGACTACGTACCTTAAAGGAAAGGAATGAGCGGAGGCTGGGCATGAGGGTATTTGGGGGCATAGGGTGAAACACCTGTCTAGCCCTGTCAGACCATGACTGTCTCCTTTACAAGCTTGCAAGGCCTATGGAGAGGGCATGAGGCAAGGGGAGGGTGGAATGAACCTCACAGGAATGTAGCAGATGGACTGGGGAAGGCAGGAAACTGACCTCTGGCAGCCTCAACCCTTCTGAGGGCAGGGCTGCCATCTTGAAGGTGCCTTTCCCCTTAAATTTGTTGTTCCGCATATTCTATCTACATTTATATACGTACTAGAGGCCTGATGCACGAAATTTGTGCATGGGTAGGGTCCCTAGGCCTGGCCAGTGATTGGGGGGCCCCCACTGGCACCCGCCTTGGCCGGCCTGGCACCACTTGCTGGCCAGCCCTGATGCCTTCCTCCCAATTGCCGCCGCTGGTTGCCTCCCTCTGCGGGGTGACCAGAGGGGCAATTGGGAGGCCCCCTGCTGGCACCCGCCTTGGCTGGCCTGGGGGCAGCTCCTGCATTGAGCATCTGCCCCCTGGTGGTCAGTGTGTCTCATTGCAACTGGTTGTTCTGTTCAGTTGATTTGCATATTAGGCTTAAATGCTGAGCTAAGGAGCTCAGTTTATCCTGCAGCAGAGGGGAGCGTGCTCAGCGCTGTGTTGTAAGACCAGTCTGGCTGCAGAGTGAAGGACTGACAGGAAGAAGAGTGGAGAGGAGGGAGACGCGGGAGAAAATACTGTGTTCAGATCGATCTGAACTGCACAGGGCTAGTAAATAGGCAAAGGGAAGAGACAGATGGGAGAGAGGCTGAGAAGAGAGATGCAGATTGACATGGTGCGGCATAAACTCACAATTATTATTATTTTTTTTACACCAAGCAACCTACATGGTTGCTTTTTCACTAAATTTTTTAAATATATTTTTATTGATTTCGGAGAGGAAGGGAGGATAGAGAGATAGAAACATCAATGATGAGAGAGAATCATTGATTGACTGCCTCCTGCACACCCCCTACTGGGGATCAAGCCCACATGTGCCCTTGACCAGAATCCAACCTGGGACCCTTCCGTCCACAGGCTGATGCTCTATCCATTTCGCCAAACCAGCAAGGGCACAAACTCACAATTTAATTAGCTTCCTGGTTTGCCAGGTGATTACAGGGGAATTAACAGACCTCAGAGTCTAGGGACCGTGCTGGGAGGTGAAGGGAAGTTAATGAGAGAGACAACAACATGCCTCAGGGAGAAATGAGAGCAGAGGAGGAGTCAGCCAAGCAAAGATGCTGGCAGGAGAAACAGATGTCAGGGCGCGGAGTCTCTGCCTTCCTTGGAGATTTCAGACCTCCAGGGGTGAAAATGGTCAGAGCTCCCAGCCTGATGGGCTGGGTTCCAATTCCCCTGCGTACTGGGAGGGGAAAGCTGGGAGTGGCTTCCAGGATCAAGGTCCCAACTCTCCCTTGGCCTTTGCCAGAGGGGAACTGAACACCGCCCCCCGCCCCCCTTTCTGCAGATGGGGAGGTTGAGGCCAGGGATGGGAAGTGACCTGCTCATGACCAGATTGGCAAACTGCATTTTCCAAGGACAGCTGTGGCAGCATCTCTTCCCACTTCTTACACTGTGACCTTAGGAGAATTTCGGTTCAGTCCTAAAAGGTGATATTGTGTCTCTTTCTGGAAACTCTCCCACTTGGAACCCAGCCACCATGCTTGAGAAAGCCCAGGCCACCTGGAAAGTATAGATGTTGTGGCCAACAGCTCCAGTCAGGGCCAGCTATTTAACTGGCAAGATCCAGTGCAGAACGAAAATGCAGGCCTCTTATTCAAAAATTAAGAATTTAAGTGGTGACAACAGGGCATTAAACCTAAGTGTGGGGCCTGGTGCAGCTGCACAAGTTATACCCCAAGAACTGTCCCTGATCCCAGCTGAGGTTCCAGCACCAATTGCTCACAATATGGGTGAGGAAGCCTTCAAGATGGCTCGGGGCACAGCCACTGTCTGATTGCAACTGTACAAGGGACCATGAAGAGGAATCACATAGCTGAACCCAGTCGCCTCCAGACTCGTACTGAGAAAAATCAACTGATGATTTGTAAAAAATTCCTGAGGAAGAACTTTGAACTATAGCATATATTCCAGAAGTCAAAAAAATGATGGATATGTATTTTATTATACAGCTTAAAAGGAAAACAGCGCCCTGACGGTGTGGATCAGTTGGTTGGGTGTCAGTCCATGCACTGAAAGGTTTCTGGTTCAATTCCTGGTCAGGGCACACACCCAAGTTGTGGGCTGGATCCCTGTAGGGAGTGTGCAGGAGGCAGCCAATTGATGGTTCGCTCTCATATTGATGTTTCTCTCTTTCTTTGCCTCTCTAAAAATCTTTTAAAAAAGAAAAAAGGAAAACATGGCAGAAACAAAATAGAAAGACAAACTACAAACTGGAAAACATTTGTAACTCATATCACAAAATTTCTTTAATATACAAAGAGCTCTAAGAAAGACAATTCAGTAGAAAAATGTGTAAAGGATATAAACAATTAAAAAGTATTAGAATAAGAAAGTTACATTAAGATGCCATTATTTTTTTACCCCTCAGGTTGTCAAAGAGCAATAATATGTATAACACAATCTATTGGTAAGGAGGTGGAAAAACTGACCCTCACACATTGTTAGTGGTCACAACTGGACAATATCTACCAAATTTAAATGTGTATACCCTTTCACTCAGTGATTCCACTTCTCAGACAGCTCTTCTTCAGATACACGCCAACACATTTGAAATAAGTTACTCATTCATTGAAGCATTGTTTATAATAGCAGACCACTGGAAATGATCTATAGGTCCAGCAATCGAGGGCCCATTAAATAAATTCTGGCACATATATACAGAATACTGTGCATCCTTTACAAAAGAATGAGGAGTCATTTTGAATAATGATATGAAATAAGCTCTAAGATTTACTGATCAGTGAAAAACAAGATGTACAGCATGCTACCCTTTATGTAAAAAAAAGAAAAAGAAAGCATACATTTGCTTTTACGTGCATAGAATACATCTCAGAGGATCTACTAGAAACTGTTAACAGCAGGTGCCTCCTGGGAAGAGAAATGGTTATAGGGGAGAGACACACTTTTCACTGTTTCAACCTTTTGTACCTAAAATAAAAATGGGTGGGAGAACCACTATCTTTTTAAGCAGCTGCTACATTCCTATTGGCTTCTATTCAACCTGAGGCCGGTTGAAAGCCCTCAGCCTTTTCCCGTATGCATCACTGTCAAGCCAAACTTCCTTCCTCCCATGCTTACGCAGCTGGTTAAAATGAAAAACCTAAATGCAGGTCTTCATACATTTTTGGGGGGACAAAGGGAAGCTCAAGAAATGACCAAAGGAGGCCATTTTTATTCTTTTCAAAAAAACAATAAATTTGTGAGAAATTGACAAGACAAAATAAACTAGGTTTGGGTGCTTAATTAGTGAAGAATCTGAGAATTTGAGCTTAGGTAGTAAATTAGTAAAGAAGTAACAAGGTTTGTTTATACTGTCTTCGGTCACTTGACAACAGGAATGCATTCTGAGAAATGTGTCCTTAAGAGATTTTGTCATTGTACAAACATCATAAAATGTCACACAAACCGAGATGGTATGAATGGTTATTGCTAGGCTACAAACCTGTACAGCATGTTGCTGTACTGGATACTGTAGGCAATTGTAACACAATGGCATCTGCTTTTCACTTCTTTTAAATTCACCCTGTTGCTTTCAGCCACTGTTTCAAGATGCTTTAGAATCTTGATTCGGACAAATATTAGTGTTTGCTCTCAGTCAGTGGTGCCATCTGCAGACATGGTGAGTGTGGCAGGCACTGGTAAGTACTGAGCTGACCAAGTGCAGAGCCTGCAGAGCCCCGAAGCATGGGACTTAAGACTTGTCTCCAGATTTGCATCACCTGGACAACCAACTGGGGGAGAGGTATGAATCCAGCTGATGGTTCGATCTCTGAGATCAGTTTTCCCAGTTGTCTCCTCAATCGGAGGCATTCAATGTCCAACTGGAAACAAGTTACACTATGGTCAAGGACTTTTCCTAGTGGCCTTCCAAATAAATAATAATTAATTGTG